GCTTGTAACTCTGTCAGGAGTCATTTCCGACCCTATAACCCATATATATTCTTGATCAGCGTCAAAAGGCAAATCTTTCTAACCAACTCCGGCAAAAAAATTTTTTTTTATCAATTTTTGAACATTTTTACGATGTAACTAACCCCTTATAAAATTTAAAAAAAAAATGGTAAAATATTTTTTCTGCCGGAGATGGCTAGATCGACTCTGCTGTTCATGATGATCAAGAATATATATGATTTATAGAGTCGGAAATGATTCCTTCATATCGTTTCATGCTACAAACTAAAATTATAATACAATGCAATTTAATGTTAAATATAGGAAATAATTAAGTATATTTAATTTAATGTTAAAGAATTGGTAAAGGAAAATATATATGAGTATCAAACTTAATGTTTAATAACGATATGATAATAACTATCAAATTTAATAGATAATAATATCAAATTTTAAATAATTTCTTTAATACAATTTTATTTATGGCTATTAGGACCTACTCTACTTGTTACTTTCTATTCCTGATCCCTTTCTGCTAGAATAATGGCCTTGAAACTGTAGCTACCCCTAGATCATGTTGGTCCATTCATTGCTATAATAACCATCGGAATTGGAATCGAAATCGAAATCATTATTATAAACTATAATGCGGGATTGTCCAGCATCAAGAGGGGGGATTCTCGAAGGATACTTTTGAGGGGTGAGTTACCACAAATAAAAACCCAACAACAATTGGCCTTAAACCCCTATGGCGAATGCTCCTAACTGACTGAATGACTAAATGACCAAATGACTGAATGACTTACTGACTGCATGTGCGAATGACTAACTGACTGACTGAGCGTATGACTTTCTTTTGCTGTCTGCATGTTTGCCTTTTTCATTTTTAGCATTCGGGTTTAACATTTCGTGACCTGCATTTTGTTGTTCAAAATAAATTGGTCGGTCGATCCCTCGGTCTCCTTTTTGGCATATGGCAAGCATGTGGCTCACGTACAAGCCACTTCACTCCTTTCAATTATGTGCGAAGCAGCAGCAGCAACAGCAACCAGCAACATTGCAGCAGCAACATACAGCACGGCAGCAGCAGCAGCAGCAGCAGCATCTGATGCACAGCAGCAACAGCTCAAAAGAATGGACTCATCCATGTGTAGATCGAAAAATTAAATACTCTTGCAAGATCGATTTAAAAAAAATGTGTAAAACCCTAAACAAATACTTTTTAAATTTAAATATATATTTAATTAAATATATATATATATTTGTATATATTTATAAAAATCACTTTAAAAACAACTAGCTAAACTTCCATCCTTAAAGAAAAACTATCTAAGTCGTGTGAATCAAGCATATATTCTGAAAATCTATTATAATTATTATTATTATAAAAGATAATTATTATTGAAGCCACAGTCAATAGTCAGAGTGAAATAACAGGCACATTGCAACTAAATTGTCAAATGAGTTCAATATTTATATATATTATATATTCAATATATACATAATGTTTTTATAATAATAATTATCCACCAAAATTCTAAATCATTTCAAAGAGTCTCAATATTTCTTAGCAGAGCATCAGCATATCCACCACAACCTATAAACAAATTGCCCAAGTGTGTATATACTTATAAGCAAAACTGTGGCTCCTTTTTCATTAACTGTTTGCCTCTCCTGGGATTCCCCTCCACAAAACTTGACTCCTGCTCGCCGCTTTAATTACAATTACAGTCAGCAAAATGCATATGACACGATCGAATAGCAGCAGTAGCTTCCTTTATTTTGTTTAAAACTCTACACGAGTGTCACAAAATCGAAATCGTGAAACAAAAAACCAACAAAAAAAACAAACTGAAAAGCGAATTTCTTAATTCGAAGGAGAAGAGAACATTTAAATTTCAACTTGATTTCCCAGGGTACTGTAACTGATAAAACCAGAATAAGAAGTCCAAGAGATTAGGGGTCCCCATCCTATATGGGTCACATACAAATAGACCTCTGATCTCCGACTTCTTCCTCAAAGTGATTGCAAAATTCCCAGAATGAAGAGGAGGCACCACACCCCGTCAACTAGAAAAGCACTTGTTCTCTGATATCAACCACGCCCTCTCCTCGATAATAACCCTTCCCGATAATAATAATAAATAATATTTCCAAGATTCTGACGTCAGAGAAGAGGGGAGAGAAGGGAAGCTCTACTATATTACTACACACTTTCCCAAGATCCGCTTAGAGAAGAGGAATTCTGACGAGTTTGCGATTAATTTATATGCCGTCTCGGCTTTGTCTCTCCTCTCGTTTTCAGCTCTTTTGATTGATGATTAATCCAGACTTTGACTTTTGGCATTGACGATGGGGCCCAACAAACTCGAACAAGAAGCCTGAGAATACTTCTGTTCTTGTGTGTTAAGCTTGTGTCTTGTGTGTGAGCAAAAATACTTGTGGACTCCGGGGCACTCGGACTGTGAAGTGACTATATAATTATACCCTAAACAGAGGAGAGGTAGCTAGGATTTTTTAAATATTTTTTAAGAGCATTAGAATGGGATGAATATTTTTTAATTCAAGTTGAAGTTGAAATAAAATATACAATCGAGATTAATCTGAATTTATAAACTACTAAAAATATAACAAGCCCTGAAACCATACTATCATTGAGAATATATATGAAGTTATGTTTTATTATATTTATTTCAAGAAATTCATTCATAGGTAAGAGCTTATGAGATATTTATATAAGCGTCAAATATCGAAAGAGTATGGATATATCAATAATTTATCCATAAAATAAACTTCAATATAATTAATGTAAAATATTAGCCTACCTCAATAGATAATTCCACTTCAATCAAATCACAAAATGTCTAATTAATTCATTAGAAATATAAATAAAAATTAATCTAGAAATAGAGTATTTCAAATCCGTTATATATTTATTAAACGAAAATGCAAATATGAGCGGAAACGCCTGCTTTGAATGGATAACAAACTGCGACCGCAGCAAAGGGAACTCTCTTGGGGTTACCCAGAAGGGCAGAATGTCGAAACCGCAGAATTTATGTTTGTTTATTTTTTTATAAACATATTGTACAAAAATATTATCCACTTTTTTTGCGAATATTTATTTATTTTTTATTTGTAGCTTAGCTTTCGATAAGCGAATAAATACATTGTATTTAATGCAATTTTATGCCATTCCCGAAATCGATTTTCCCTCGGGGGATTCGCTGAGATTTCCTGCCGGAAGGAAAAAAGAATTTTTTGCAAAGCCACTACGAAGACTCTTTAGAATTTTGCGATTTCATTTCATTCATTTCCAAGAAGTTTGATAAGTTTTTTTAAATGGAAAAATATGGAAAAAATATTTAACGGAAATAAAAAGTGGAACACAATTAGAATAACCCATGGATTTATATAAAACTATATACAAATCTTTTTTAAAATGCAATCAAAGATATTCCTAGATTAATCCTGCCTTGAAATTGAACTATCTTCTAGAGACAGTCGTTCCTCCATAATAAAACATTTCCAATGGGGAATAATCCACTCTGGGGACCTTCCCTTCAACATTCTAATCAAGATCCATTCAAAAAATATAAAACTACAGAGACAAAAAAAATAAAGATCAACTTGCCGTCAAACTTAGTTTTTTGGCTTAGATCGTAAAATCGAAAAAATGTTTGAAAGACTCGTAAAAATCAAACAAAGGCAACCTTCACAAAAAACTAGAAACTATAAATGTGTAAAAATCGATGCAAAGTTGTTGTTGCCTTTGACTTTGCTTAGCTTTTTTTTTTTGCATACATTTATGTTTATTTTATTTAAGAGCAAACATTGGGTTAATAAACATAAAAAAAGATCGCTTGAACTGCCATGGAATTGCTTCATAATTAGTTGCTGTTAAACGATGGCAGTTCGAAGATCTCGATGGAAGAGATGACTGGCCAAATTAACAAAATACACAAAAAAAAAACCTGACATGAGCCAGAGATCAAAGCACACACACTCACGAGCTCTTTTTCTTAATTTTTATATATATACTATTTTTTTCTGCGGGGTGAGGGGGCAATGACATCGGGCATTTTTCCCCCATTTATATAGCATATAGTACAAGTAGTTTGTCATACGGCAGAATCATCTTGGATATTCGACAGAAATAGACGACGATTGCCAGCAATTCAATGATCTTTTTGACAGATCAGTGAACAGACCTGAATCTTCTTAGATTTTTATTAGAGTATAAAAAGAGTATTATGATTTTAGTAAGCAATAAAGAAGTTATTTGTGAGACTATGTAGCATATATATTATTGATCAGCAGCTATGAAAAAATAATAAACCAATTATTTCTAAATTTTATAAAATGCTACATAATTAAAATTGTAAAAAATTCCAACAAAGCTTTAATATTTAAAATTATTAATTCAACAACCTACCAATAAGTGTAATTGAAACCTAATTATTTATTAACAGAAACTTGCTTAGCAAGGCTTTTCAAAGTAAAATTGTAATGCCTTTCTGACTTAGTTATAATAGAGTAAGAATACCAATTCCAAACTTTAAGGGTATATAGACATTGGCTTCTTGAAATAAGCTTCCTTTCTGGTTTTCTCTTCATTTTAAGTTCAAGTGAAGCAGTTACTTGAGTTGATCGCTTGGGGAATAGGGGTAATAACAGAAAAAGTGCTGGGAAAACCAAAGAAGGTTCTTGAAAAACTGCCCCAGGAAAATGCTACAAGCTAGCATTACATTATATATATATATATATATATATATATATATATAATATATTATATGTGCTTGTTATAAATAATTACACAAAATATTTAAAATTCCAAAGTGATTAAATATTCTCAACGAGGTCTTCATATTATACAAAAAATATATATATACAAACATTATTAAGAATATTAAAAATAAGTATTTATATTAAAATAATAGGAAGTATTCTAATTAATTTCTATATTTAAAAAAAGAATAGGAAAACTAAGGCAAACTCACCACATTTGTTGCATATTTTACATTTAGTTTGAAACCACATCTAAAAAGAGTAAAAGAAATTTTAAACATTATTAACAAGCTATATTTGATATAAATTATTATGGAAAACAAAATATAAAATATTTTATATAATCCTTTTATTTAAAATATTATTTTAAAACCTTAAGAAAATCATTTTATTTAAAGGAAAACCCACACAGTTTGCGAGAGTAATATTCATTGGATGCTGGCTGCATCGACATAACCTTGCCCAATTATCTGTGGAATTGCATGTCAGCCTCGTCGTATCAGCTGAGATGAAAATCAAATAAATATTTACAAAAAGTGCAGCCATGGAAAACTGGGTGGAAAATTAGGAAGGAAATTGGGTTAACAAGAAAGGCATCTAACTTCGGCACGCCAAAGTTTATATACGCTTACAGATTGAAATTCGATCACTAGGAATTAATACAATATAAATTATATATATTTATATTAAAAACAATAAAATAATGCCTGCTTTTATTTCATACACCATTTTGCATTTTCATCTATTCTTAACGATCGTTTGTATGGCAGCTATATGATATAGTCGTCCGATTTGTCCCGTTCCGACTTATCTAAGAGTGAGAGTATATAGAAGACTAACTGCAAAGTTTCAGTTAGCGGAAATGTGTAAATATTTTGTAAACAATTCGTACGATAGAACAGAACCTGCCACTACGCCATATAACTATATTTGTATCTCCTCCGAAACTCTCTAAATTAATTAAACATTTTTTTTTACTATATTTTTTTTGTATAGTTTTTATATTTCCCTTTTGGTTAAGACAACAGGTGAAGATGTGAAGACATCATTCGGTTCAATGCTCTGCGGCTATCTAAATCTGTGTGTATGTATCTTTGTGGCTACTAAATATTATTATTGGCAGTTCTACGAAATGTGGAATTAACTCATTCATTAAATTTATACATAAGCCACTAAAACACACGAGAGTAGCCGAAACAAGATATTGTAGATGCACAGAGAAAAAGTAAAGGGGGTTTTTTTTTGTAAGAAAAGTGGTGCGAAAGAAATAGTTTAAAATATATCTATTTATTTATTAATAGAGAAATAAGCTACTATGAGTTAAGATATTTATTTTATATATATAGTAAAATACTTCATATTATTTTTTATGCCAAAGAAAGTCAAGAAATTAGAAGGTTATTTTGTCTATCAGAAGGCTTGCTCTTGAAATTATGAATTTTCAGGTATTAAATATAATACTTAATATATTTAAAGTAATGTAGAATTAAGTTCTTTTCTGTCCTTGTACAATATATATTTTTTATAATTATATAAAAGAATTTAATATATATTTTATATATTCTTTACCATTACCCTTTATTGTGTAGTATAAAATTTTTGAAATAAATTCTTTCCCAATTCCGATCTTAAAAATCTATTTAAAATTATATATTGAAATAAAATTCTTTTAGCATAATTTATCAAGATTTCTCTCAGTGTTTAGGCCCTGCGCTCATAAGCATAACCCTCATAACGAATAACGAAACCTGCAGCTCCAACAAAAACCAAACTCAACCGAAATAAAATAACCAAAAAAACAACAACAATAAAAAACAGGAGACAAAAAAAATAAATAAAATAAAACGAACGACGACAACGAACCCCGAGCCTCGTATTAATTGTCGGCTAAATTCTTTTTGAACACCAGATTTCGGATCAGAGAACAGGTACCACAGCAACAACAATGGAAGTGAGATAGAAAAAGAAATAGAAACAGAAACAGAAAAAAAGGGGCCGCTAAAGGTCGCCTAATGAAACATTCTAATAGATGCAAAGACTCCGATCCGAAGAGTCATCGATTTGGATAGAATATTCAGCCACACTGAGAAAAAAAAAATTCAAGAACAATAAAGTCTAAAAGAAATTCTATGATACAAAAATCTATGAGTAACAACACGGGAGGGTAACATCGGGAAACTGAAATTTCTATACCCTTGCAGAGAAAATCAATTGTAAATCGATATTTTTAATTGTTAATTCTTTAGGTAAATTAATTAATTTTAAATCTGAATTATAATCAGTAAGTAGCTATGAGCAATAAATAACTCTGAACAATTAGTATCTATGACCAGTAAGTATCTATGACCATTAAGTAACTATAATAAGATAGTTTGTAAGATCACTAACTAACTTTGAACACTAATACACAATGACTTGCAACTTTTGTAACACAACACATTTCTGATACTTGGCCGGCAGAAGACACTTCGTTCCAGGGATGTTAGAACCAGTTGGGAATCATTACTCAGATGTGCGAGATTTGTTTTGGAACAAATTTAAGGACAAGCTATTTGAATGAAACTATGGAGATATTCTTCTATATAATTTTACTGGTACATAAGTCGGCGCATGGCAAATCGGTGGACTGTATATATATATTTATATAAATTTATATAGCTGCCAAAGTCACGATCGAAAAATTTTAAGAAAAAAAACGATGAGCAGCAAGTAACTCTGAACAGTAAGTAGCTATGAGCAGTAATTAACTCTGATCAGTAAGTAACTAAGATCAGTAAATATCTATGACCAGTAAATAACTCTGAACAATAAGTATCTATAACCAGTAAGTATCTATGACCATTAAGTAACTATAATAAGATAGTTTGTAAGATCACTAACTAACTTTGAACACTAATACACAATGACTTGCAACTTTTGTAACACAACACATTTCTGATACTTGGCCGGCAGAAGACACTTCGTTTCGGGGATGTTAGAACCAGTTGGGAATCATTACTCAGATGTGCGAGATTTGTTTTGGAACAAATTTAAGAGCAAGCAATTCGAATGAAACTATAGAGATATTCTTCTAGATAATTTTACTGGTATATAAGTCGGGGCATGGCAAATCGGTGGACTGTATATATATATTTATATAAATTTATATAGCTGCCAAAGTCACGATCGAAAAATTTTAAGAAAAAAAACGATGAGCAGCAAGTAACTCTGAACAGTAAGTAGCTATGAGCAGTAAGTAACTAAGATCAGTAAATATCTATGACCAGTAAATAACTCTGAACAATAAGTATCTATAACCAGTAAGTATCTATGACCATTAAGTAACTATAATAAGATAGTTTGTAAGATCACTAACTAACTTTGAACACTAATACACAATGACTTGCAACTTTTGTAACACAACACATTTCTGATACTTGGCCGGCAGAAGACACTTCGTTTCGGGGATGTTAGAACCAGTTGGGAATCATTACTCAGATGTGCGAGATTTGTTTTGGAACAAATTTAAGAGCAAGCAATTCGAATGAAACTATAGAGATATTCTTCTAGATAATTTTACTGGTATATAAGTCGGGGCATGGCAAATCGGTGGACTGTATATATATATTTATATAAATTTATATAGCTGCCATGGGAACGATCGGAAAATGTTAAGAAAAAAACTATGAGCAGCAAGTAACTCTGAACAGTAAGTAGCTATGAGCAGTAATTAACTCTGATCAGTAAGTAACTAAGATCAGTAAATATCTATGACCAGTAAATAACTCTGAACAATAAGTATCTATAACCAGTAAGTATCTATGACCATTAAGTAACTATAATAAGATAGTTTGTAAGATCACTAACTAACTTTGAACACTTATACACAATGACTTGCAACTTTTGTAACACAACACATTTCTGATACTTGGCCGGCAGAAGACACTTCGTTCCGGGGATGTTAGAACCAGTTGGGAATCATTACTCAGATGTGCGAGATTTGTTTTGGAACAAATTTAAGAGCAAGCTATTTGAATGAAACTATGGAGATATTCTTCTATATAATTTTACTGGTACATAAGTCGGCGCATGGCAAATCGGTGGACTGTATATATATATTTATATAAATTTATATAGCTGCCAAAGTCACGATCGAAAAATTTTAAGAAAAAAAACGATGAGCAGCAAGTAACTCTGAACAGTAAGTAGCTATGAGCAGTAATTAACTCTGATCAGTAAGTAACTAAGATCAGTAAATATCTATGACCAGTAAATAACTCTGAACAATAAGTATCTATAACCAGTAAGTATCTATGACCATTAAGTAACTATAATAAGATAGTTTGTAAGATCACTAACTAACTTTGAACACTAATACACAATGACTTGCAACTTTTGTAACACAACACTTTTCTGATACTTGGCCGGCAGAAGACACTTCGTTCCAGGGATGTTAGAACCAGTTGGGAATCATTACTCAGATGTGCGAGATTTGTTTTGGAACAAATTTAAGGACAAGCTATTTGAATGAAACTATGGAGATATTCTTCTATATAATTTTACTGGTACATAAGTCGGCGCATGGCAAATCGGTGGACTGTATATATATATTTATATAAATTTATATAGCTGCCAAAGTCACGATCGAAAAATTTTAAGAAAAAAAACGATGAGCAGCAAGTAACTCTGAACAGTAAGTAGCTATGAGCAGTAATTAACTCTGATCAGTAAGTAACTAAGATCAGTAAATATCTATGACCAGTAAATAACTCTGAACAATAAGTATCTATAACCAGTAAGTATCTATGACCATTAAGTAACTATAATAAGATAGTTTGTAAGATCACTAACTAACTTTGAACACTAATACACAATGACTTGCAACTTTTGTAACACAACACATTTCTGATACTTGGCCGGCAGAAGACACTTCGTTTCGGGGATGTTAGAACCAGTTGGGAATCATTACTCAGATGTGCGAGATTTGTTTTGGAACAAATTTAAGAGCAAGCAATTCGAATGAAACTATAGAGATATTCTTCTAGATAATTTTACTGGTATATAAGTCGGGGCATGGCAAATCGGTGGACTGTATATATATATTTATATAAATTTATATAGCTGCCATGGGAACGATCGGAAAATTTTAAGAAAAAAAACTAAGAGCAGCAAGTAACTCTGAACAGTAAGTAGCTATGAGCAGTAATTAACTCTGATCAGTAAGTAACTAAGATCAATAAATATCTATGACCAGTAAGTAACTCTGAACAGTA